ACGTGATACACTTATTTCAAGGTATATTTCGTTTTGCTTACTAACATTGAGAATTTTGTTCTGCAGATTTGTCGTTGTCAACTCGGACTTTATTAGTAAAAAGCCGTCGAATTTGACGTAGGACTTTGAACCGGCATGATCTTGTTTTATTGTCAATTGAGACTTTGTGTGATTTTATCTTTGTGCAGACACGTCGAAGCTGCAACTTTACCAATGGCAGCACTCACAGCACTGCAATCCTTTCGACATGGACAGCTCGGTGAGAACAAGAAAGTGTTGATTCTTGGTGGAGCTGGTGGCGTCGGATCTATGGCTATCCAAGTCGCCAAAGCTGTTTTCAAGGTGATTTAATATGTTTGAGCTGAAGATTTGATGTTTAGTGATAAAATGTCTTGCTGATTGTAGCCACAAGCGATTGCGACCACGGCAAGCACTCAAAAAGTGGAACGAATGCGCCAGCTTGGTGCAGATGTTGTGGTCGATTATAAGCTCAATCGTTTTGAGACAGAGCTTAAAGACTATGACTTTGCTCTGGATACCACTGGCGAGGTGAGAGAGTCAAATTTCAAACAGCTTTTGTACAATAAGGTTCTGAAACAAATTTTATTAACAGTCAAAGCAGTGCTTTGAATGCGTCACACGCGGTGGTTCCGTCGTTACAATCGCTGCAACACCAAGTAGGAAATCCCTACCGAAACACGTTCAAGGTGTAGACGTTTCGCTTGTTATTGGGCTCGTCATGAATTGTCTGAGCTTTTCAGCTTGTCATCAAGCGCGTCAAGCGGGAGTTTTTTACGACTTTATGTTTGTGTTGGCCAATGGCGACATGATGAATGAAGTCCGTGAGCTTGCTGAGCAACGTTCCATTACACCGGTAATCGACCAGGTTTTTCCATTTGAAAAGGCCAATTCGGCGATGGAATACTTGGAGTCGGGGCGTGCATTGGGAAAAGTTGTTGTGCAGCTTGTAGATGCGACCAAAGCCCTCTAGTGAACCTCCGGGAAAGCGAGACAAGAAGCAATACCTATGCATTTCTGTTACTTAGTGTATATTTCACTAAGTAATATTCTCATTTTTTGTTAAAGCTCACTTTTTAAGTAGTGTGTACTGCTGTGTGGTATCTGAAACTAGAACGGCTTTTGTAGCGTCGACCTTTTCAGTCTTGCGGCCTTAAAGTGTTGAACAAGGTAAGGGCTGTGAAGGATAAGGGAAGATCGTAAGCATGATATTTACTGAGACTATTTATTGAATCTTAGAGCCGCGTACGACATGCTTTAACTCGAGAGATCGATAACAACCTGCTCACAGAGCAGCACAAACTAAGAAAATTCTCATGCGATCGCCTTATGTAGCATTACGTACTTACATTCAGGCCTTTGTGCTATAAAAGTTTGAGACCAACAAACACATGGGATAGCAGTATGTATGCATGTAATTCGTACATCAAAACAATTACCTCGCGATTTTTCATAAACTAATCCGTCAAACCAAAATGTTTCTTAAGTCGTAATGAGCAGTTTCATAATTCCGTGGGATATCGTAGGGCTCGTACAGTATTCTGCATTTCAGGTCCTCGTTGAATTTTGGCAGGGTCGGTGCTACGATACTCCAATCCCTGGGGCTAAGAGTAGCGCTGTAAGGTCGCAAACGTCCTAATTAAACAACATCTGAGTCAACAACCACTGCAAAGCTTTCTACAGTACAATACACGTCACATCTGATACATATACCGTATGTATCGCCTCATCGATACGCGACTGTCGATAGTCTGGGTGACACGTAAGTGCATCCACCACCACATTGACTTTATCCGGTTTACATTACTTCCTAGAGATGTACTCGTCAACAGAAATGTTCGTCTCGTCCATCTATGGAAGGACGTCATGACAATGTCGCTAAGCGCATGGATTCATTTTGTGTATAACAAGAAGGGCTTCGAGCCAAATAGGTATATTCTTTATTTGACATACTCATACTCATCAACCAGTAGCTCCTTGTCAATGTGACAAGATCAAAATGCAACACCGCGTTCATGTCCATTGACATCAGCTTGGACTAAGACAAAGCCTTTGGCAAGGGCTCAACAGTCACATTAGCTGTAAATGACTGGTAAGAATTTGATAGCACCAAATAAGGGCACATATGAGATATTTAACAGCGTTGAGCCCGCACGGATGCGCCCACAGCCATCTGACTTTCGTTAATGGAGATCGAGTTGGGGTCTAGTCATGTGGGCATACTTTGCACCGGACTTGTGCAAATAGCAGCCAGTCCTAGTTTCCTCCGTTTACATCTCAAGGTTAGTGACGCCGGCAACTTTGCTTTGGACTTGGTTTTAGCGAACGCTATCCGAAAAAATATTTCCATTGAATCCTCCGAAAAAGAAACCTCATCAGCTATAAAGACACATTTGCTCATACCAGCGAAAGTCATTACAAAGCGCGTTCACTCCAGCACAACTCGCAAATGCTGACTTGGGATGTCAATATTCGATCTATCGTGCTCAAGACGAAAATGGACGAATACACCGTCGGCAAGATTCTGGTCGTATGCGCAATGTGAGCTCACCAATGATGATGAACGTAGCTTGGGCTTGAGACAGCCTCTTGGGTATATCCAGCCATTACAGAGCACCCCACTCGAAGTACTCACTGCAGGAAGAAAATTCTCCCTTCAGCAGGTAAAAATTCCAATAGTACACTAAACAGGGTGCAAGTGGTCATTCTACACTCATTTAAGGTGTCGGCATTTTGCTGGGGTAGTGGCTAAATTGAGCATATTAAAAGCATAACTTGCCACTCCGGCAGCACTCTGTGCTGCGATAGACAGTGTATATGACATTGCAATGCTCCTTCGGTAAAGTATTATTGGCTTGTCACGCAGTTTTGTTACCAGAAAAAGACAACTTCATGGAGAGCATCCGATCCAAAGTAACAATCATGAAAGATCTATTACTAGACACAATTTGAAAATACTTCAAAACAAAATTGAATATATGAGGACAGCAAACTCACACTTAACGCTTTAGTGTCTTCAGTGACAGATGACAAACCTCAGCACACCTCTCCGCTGATCAAATTAAGCGTGTGATCCCACCGTCCAAACAATATTTGAAAGCATTTTTTACAACTGATTTGAACAGCATACATAAATGTTGTCACTCACTTATATGTGAGCTTTAATGCTTGCCCGAGACTCCCAAAGATTTAATGCTTTGCGCAGCGGGTGTGTAGCTGGTTCAATATTACCTACACAAGCAAACATAGATGAATTGTTTAATTGTATCGTTCCTGGAGGTTACGGCTAAAAGATGCTTTCGCACTTCTCAACAAGGGCAAACATCGAAAACTTAATATACAGTTATTTTATTTTGTCTTGACAAATGTAAGCTTTGGGACCCGAGATCGAAGTTGCCTATAATCGTCTTCACAATGAGACTACGGCTCACCGCCGTCGTTTCCCTACTTCTTTATCTATAGTTACAGCTATCGCGAGCATCCCCCACTTTTAGTGCTAAAGATGTCGCAGCTTCGTGCTGGCGCCAAAAGTGCGTCTTTTATTCTGGAAAGACAGCCTACTGACTTGGTAAAGATTCATTGAGAATAAAGTGCGCGGTACTTATCGTTTTGACCTCCAGCAGATCTATGGCTTGTAGTATCTCACAAGTCAAATCTTATCTCGCACCCAGGGCAATAACTAAGCAGCGTTCCACGCTATCAGAGTTGTTACATTATAATTTTGAGGCTCAAAAGAACCTTCGACACCTTAGCATATGCTTCGGTCACGAGACGCAAAAATCTAGTAGCTGTACGAATAATACTAAACGCCTCCGAATACTCTTTCCTATTTGCATCATTAGCAGCTTTTACTCTACTAGACCTTTTCAAAGCTACACTTGGAGTGCACCAATAAAGGTAAAACTCAATCAAGCTCGGTTTTCGATAGCAGTAAATTAGTAAGCTGAACATTTTATTTGTCTCAGGTTCCAAGCAGCGCCTTGGTACCACAATCCACGCTATGCGTGTTCCTCTTACTCTCGGCTGAGCAAGACAAAGGGCCGACCTCCCACGCAGAACTGGTTGGCAGAATCTATTGGTGGGAATGCTGAAGCCTTGTTGGTCCCTCTGCGTTAACTGGTAGAGTACATAATTCTTCAGTATGGAGCGGTCAATTTGATCCATTCCTGTATAGGGAGAAATTATCCCCAAGAAAGATAAAAATTCTATTCGTCGAGAGTGAAATTGACCCGCAGCGGGTCAAAAGGTTGTCTACCACAATAAATACGAGGGGCATCGTACCTTTTAAGACGTTGAATGATCGCATGGCATCTCAGTGTGAGTCGAATCTGTGCGGTGAACTTTCGTGAGTACAGTCGCTATACCCAAATTTGAAAAGGGTCAGCCGCCTCCAGCACCGTTGATCTGTCTAGGCAGGGCTAAATCCATAACTATTTCAATTAACTCGATCATCTCACTTCCTGATGTCAAGAGAAGGATTTGATCATCTCAACATTTTAAGGACTTGCTGCTTAACCGAAGCGGCCGCGGCGTAAATAGATATAGCGGGGCGTTTGACATATAGCGAGGTCTGTAGAATTCGATAGTGCCTCTCCCGACGTGTGCACGAGAATTCTCTGAATTTTCTGAATGTACATCGTCCGTATCTGACGAAAGTCCTAAACCAGATGTTACCGCTTATGTTCTTGAGTATTAGTTGTTGGGCGAAATAAACGACAATGCTGATGAAACGTGTCTTTGTAAATCAAAGTATGCAAGTCGAACAAATCAAGTCCCATTCGCACAGTGGGTAAAGTTGATCTGACTTTCAGTCGTCGGTTTGGACTTACGTATCACTAGATGCAGCGGAGTTACACATTCAACTTTTGACTCTCCGTGTTCGCATATTAAACACACAGATGACTAGCTGTAAGATGTCGGCAAGACTCGAGACCAAAATTTACCCTGTAATTCATGATTAAACATTGCTCAATCTAAAGAGTGTTACATTTAAGAAACTAAAAACTCGATTTTAGTAGTGGCTAATACATACGTTTCACAATCTCTGATACAAAAAACTTTGCGTGAGGCTAGCAGCTCAAGTATAATACGAGCATTTCTTTGGAATACCACCACTTGCACGGTACTGGACAATTGCTTTCTAGTGTCTTTGAGCTGCTCTTTAGATCCGTAGTGATGTATATTTTTTTGTATTAGGAATTCCCGAATCACTCCCCATTATAACGCCATTGCGCCGGGGGCAGTCAAGTCGTGCCAGATCATCAACTATTCTAGACCCAGTGTCTTGCCTAAAATGCTGATTCTTTTGCTGATCATCACGACGCGCGAAGGCTACTTTTCTAGCAAAAAAATGTTTTAGATTGCGAAGCCAATCACTCGCCCACTATCAATGACTCACGTTGATCTTTACTCTAGCCTGTCATTATACTTGCGTGACACTAAGAATTATTTAACAAGCCCCCCAAAGTACACAGCACAATCGAGCGTGAGGTCTGAAATCCAGTTTTAATATAGCAGCATTATTTCGGATCATCATTCGTGCTGCTGTAATCTATATCGGCTAATCAATGCTGTTCTTGTGGATTTAGCAATGGCAATTAATCAGATCATGTAATGAAAGATTTTAGGCGCACCAGCGGTAACATTTATGTATGCATTATCTCATTAGATACATTTATTAGATTCCTCGTTGTCCATCGAGTTGCCCGTCTTCATGATATATCAATACACGAAGCTAACCAATTTTTCACGGGAAGCCATGGCAGTTGTAGTAAGAGAACGAAGTGTCATGCACGGTAACGTCATAGCCTATGTAAATTGCCGGACTCAACCTGCTGCACACAGCTAAGATCACAAAATGACACAAGTATCATACCAAAAACGTGCAAAAGACACGATCAAATTAGTTTCTGTATTCAATAACTTGTATATCTAAGCCTACCTGGACACATATTCAGCACACACTTCATCGCCATCTTTAGTTGTTGGTATCATTGATACCCGGAGTCGTGATCTCTTGACAATATCGCGTATTTCGATCAACGTGAGATACATGCAATTAACGATAGGCACTCATAAACCCTTGATGTCGCTGAGAGTTTGCGCAAAAAAAACTCCACATCCAGGCGTTAGCCTACTCAGAATATTCTGATTGCGAGAATTTCTTCCTGTGTGATACTCACTTCAACGTCTGGAGTCAGTATTCGCAAAGCAGAAACCATCAATCAGCATATAGATAGTTCTTCCGCGACGCAATATTTGTCCTGTCGCTGTTTTCATCACCAGAAAAACGAGCCATGCTTGAATTTAGCATCTTTCTGTTCCATACGCAAAAAGTAGTCAGCATCTTGTAGTTTAGTGTCATCTTGCGTTGCTAACGAGCAATCAGCGTTATCGACATCAAGTCATTGCAAAAATCGGCACTTATTTTGACGTCTAGCAGAAAGCTAGCTGTCTACTAAGGGGAAATACACCTCCCATACTCAAAATCATGGATGGACTCTAAGTCTAAAGATCTGACGCTCAGCGCCATAACCAATCAGGAAAATGAGCGTTAAGGCACTCGTCGACAAAGCGCTTGTCACTTCAACCGGTTGCACATGTGCGTAGGGCTTAGGGCGAAGGTTCCTCGCTGATAAGAAACTAGACCAGAAGCGCACAGCGCACAAACACGTTCTCGCCATTATTAGCGCCCCATTCTCCCCACGGATCACGTTGACATCACTCATGCAAAGATATAGAGCTAAACAGCTCTCCAAATGACCACTTACAAATTACATGAGCAGCAGACCACTGCCCAGTCTATCCATCACTGTAAAAATATGCGCCGTTTGCCGACGCAAGCTGCAACAGGGGGCTCACTTGTCATTAAAGCTTCAACTCACCGGTTCAGGGTTAAATTGGTATTTGAACGCCTATCCCGTTGTTTACCAGTGCCATCTCATTCAAATGATACCTTTGATAAAAGAAGCTGAGAAGCATCTCGTTATTCGCTATCATCACCACAACAATTTTTTAGCGCAATCGCCCGGAAGGGGATCGCGTTTGCTTGTCGCCAGACAGGACAAAAAGGAGTTGGTGGGCTTTGTCCAAGAGAGTAAACACTCATTGCTGGGATGGCAGCCGATCTTCTCCCCGCAGCGGTCACAGTGACCGTCGGTATGAAGGGCCTCCGCAC